ATTCCCAAGCTTTAAGCCTTGGAGGAAGAAAGGCTGGATGAGCAGAATAATGCTGCCTGATTCTTACTGTAAGAATTTACTGGATGTGCATTGCGTATTGCATCAAACATCAACTTGGAGCTAAAACGCTGGCCAAAAGCTTGCTGTGAAGAGCTTATGTTCAGCTGGGGAGATGTGGGGGTGGAAAGTGTGTACATGTGTGGGAGAAATTATACCCATAGATATTTCCTCTGCTTTAATAAGTTTTGTGTTCTCTCTGAAGCTCTACAAAAGGTTTAATCTACCAGGAACTCCACCAGAATCTATGGGGCGAGGAAGAGACTGGAACGTGGACCTAATTCCAAAATTCCTTATGGCTAATGGTAAGCGATACTGAGCTCCCAAATCTGCCTCGTAAGCTTAGCCTGGGTTAGTGCTCAGTGCTGTGATCGAATACGCAGCCCTTCAGCTAGCTCTTCACGAACTTGTGGAAGCATTAATCAAAGAGCTGCGGAGAGCTCGCTCGAGCTGATCTGCATGCGCTTACGCCAGAAGCACCGCACCTTCTGCTCCGTGACTTGTTTTGGCTGTGGACCTCTTGAACTTCAGCTTGGAACGTGCAGCAGTGGCACGTCTGGAAGGGCTGAACGTCCCTTTTCCAACAGCCTCTCTTAAAGTGTTTGCATTTCTAGCCAGAGTTAATGCCATGAATTTGTGAACTGTTATTCTTCCACAGCTTAGGAAGAAACGGTTGATTCCATGGTGACTGTTAATCCCCTTTGTTCCTATTTTATGGCTTGCAGACTCTGTCATCCCTTATTGACGTTACAAATCCTCATTCTTTAATCTATGTGTTCCAGTACTGGGACAGGTCTTCTGGACCAAATCCGCTATGGGTGAAGTGGTTATCGATGCAAACAACTTCAGCGGCGACTCATTTTGCAAATCCCAACCACTTGCTACTGGAATCTCTTGTCCCTGAAGCACGAGGGGGTAGATGGATTGTGGAGTGCCAGGTTAGCGCAGTGGAAGACTTGATAGGTTCCAGTCAGGGTTTGGTTACTCTAGTCTCAGCTTATTTTCAGCTTGCGTAGGCATTGTGGTGCATCCCTCTGGAGATGTGACAGTGGGGGGGACAGGTAAGGGGGAAACATGCTGGAGGGTGGCCTTTACTCAGAGGACTGATGGAAACGGGAGGAGAGACAAGGAAGCTGTTAATTGCCTGTAAGAAAGCCTTAAAACTGCCTAATAATTGCACTAGTGAGTATCTGCTACACCCCGTCTGTTACACAAAGGTGTGAGAGCTGTGTGGGTTGAACGCGGTGCTGCCGTTGAAGGGTTTGCTCTGTTGGAAGAGCTGTCTGCCTTGCGAGAAGCACTGTCCTCCTCTCGGCTTCTGGCTACAGACCAGCTGGTTGACTTGTGCCAAACCTCCTTTCCAGGTCAGTTGGTAAAGATGCTGCTCTACACAGAAGTCACTCGCTACTTAGACTTCAAGGTGATCGAGGGGAGCTTCGTCTACAAGGGAGGAAAGATCTACAAAGTTCCTTCCACTGAGGCAGAAGCCTTGGCATCCAGTGAGTAGTTGCACCTTGCTTTGTTTCCTCCTGAGGCTACCGTCTCTAAACAAAGGCGTCTCAGGATATTCTGTGCTGGCGTAGAAAAGAAATCTTAACGCTCCTCACGTGGTGCTGTGCGTAGACTCTGTCTCGGTAACAAACTGTGCTTAGCGTAGGGCTCCTCTGCATCTCATTTGACTTCAAACACCTCAAGGACTCTTGGGTTTCCTGAGCCTTGAGTTACTCTTTTCTTGGAGCTTTCAAATGGAGCCGGTCAAGCTGCCCGGTGAGAATTCGGCAGTATTATACTTCCTCAAGAGGTTACATTTGGGGCTTATGCTCCCAGCTCTGCCATAAATATTTAATGTTGGGTCCTTGTTGGATGGAGTTGGGTGCGTGAAAAATGTCGTCGCGTTCGTCAGCAGGCAAATTGGAAAGACTTCATTCCGACATGTGGCACCTAGCTCAAATCTTAATTGTTGTCTACTTAAATTTCACTCTTCAGCTAAAACTACTGCTCATTCATAATAGCGGAGTGAAATACATTAGGACCTGGCAGAGGGCAGTCCGTTAGCTTCAGATGTGGGATGTATTTAGTAGCATCTCTGAAACGACTCGTGATAAAGTCGCTCCTGCAAATAAGGCTCCCGGTGTGTGGCCTGGCTGTACGTTGGAGCCTTCCTTGTGGCAGGTAATCCTGTCTGTTGTGAAGTAATCAGCCCTTCCTTCAATTTGGCCACGTTGCTGTCTCGTAAGTGGTCTCTTAAGAGACTCATACTGGCAGAAGTAGGAGGTGCCTTCGGTGCTGTCTCTGCCTTCGTATGTCAGCAAGTCCAGTCTTGCTTCTCCAATTTTTAGAAAATTAAAACGCGTAAATGGTGCCTCGTCCAGTCTGATGTTTGAAGCGCTGACCCTCACAGCGCTTGCTGGTTCCTTGGCGAGGCTGCAGGAGAGCCCAGCACGGCTTGCTTTGCCGGTAAGTCTGGTAGATACCAAACACAGGTCTCTGCTTAGGGAAGCTCAGGTCGGGCTCTACACCAGGGCAAGTGGAAACTGCTCTCCAGGCTTTCCTGCGGCTGGGAGCGGGGTGTAGAAACCCGGCCTCCACGCACGCCTTCA